GAAGCATATTGCTATAAAAGCTGTTCAGGTCTTCAGTAACCTTTTCTGTAATGGCATAGACAACCCATTCATGAGTTCTTTTGCTTTGCTACCAAATAGTTGTATTCCCTTCTCTGCCGGATTTTAGAACTGAGAAGTTTCATTTGTTTGTAAGTCTCTAGTACACTTAAGTCAGACCTTTCAGTGTTTTTTCTACCATTTCCAGCTGACTTCCAATAAAGTAGATTTCAGGCAACACTGCTTCCTCTGCGTCATCTTTCATGAAAATGTTAGATAATAATTTTGGACAGTTGGGAATACTATTGAAGTAACTTTTCACTGCTTCCCAGTTCTGAAGCAGTCTAGAAATGGCTGGTGTTAATGAGAGCCACCTAGTTGGAACATGCCTCAAAATCTCAGTCCACCCCAAATTCAGAAATTCAGAGAATGATTTTAACTCTTCTCTTCTTTTGGCAGAGACAGAGAAGTGATTATATATCTTTAAGACTACACTTTCAACATCAACATCTAATCTGTCAATTACAAACTTAACTGTGTTATGCATGACATGATTAGAGCAATTAGCTTTCAGTAAATTTGGGTTTTTACTTCACAGCAACTGATATACGGAAGGTGTTTTTCCATAGTTCACACTGGTATTGTCTGCACAATAAGAAGACATAATTTACATCCAAGTTGTGCTTTTCTAAGCTCTGCAGCACCAAACCAGTATTTGCCATAGACGTTTCCTCAGCACTTTCAACAAAATCTAGAAGTTTATTCTGCACTCCATTTAAAGGGTCAAAGTACCGGATGCAAACAAGGAACATTTTTCGATTGTTTTTGTTTGATTCATCGGTAGCCAACGAAAAAAATTTTGAAGTATTTTCTTGACATCTTAAAATAGACACAAAGTCATTTACACTTTTAGGAGCAAGAACGTACTTCACTATCATTTCCGCTTTAGTGCGTCCATATGAAAGTTTGGAAGCAATTGCGGAATCACTGAAAATATAGGACACAAGTTTATTTCCGCAGTCCAGACTGCATGATACACTAAACAAAGTTTACCCGCGGTGCTGTTGTCATATTTTTCTTTATTGTTTAAATTAACAAAGTATTTCGAAAGTTTATTTGAACTTCCAGAATTACATTTTTCCTTAATTTTATGTCCCTTGTATTGTGCATGTTGCCTCAGGTCACTTTGTCCACCGTGCGAAGTACTAAAATCCTTTCTACACAACGTACAAAATGCCCGGTTCTCGTCTGGTCCCGGCTTAACCCACGAGAACATATCTTTCCATTTCTTAAGATATATTTGATTATGTTTGGCCTGGAATTTCAACTTCTTCCGTGGAGGAGTCTCTGATGCATCTTGTACGCCCTCAAACATTTTTGCTAACTTGACACTGACTTTCTAGCGACAATTGAACGGATTACAAATATACTATCACCCACAGCCTCAGCTTTGCTTTAAACCTCAAGTGTTGCCAATATAACGAAAGAAACTATAACAATGTCATTTTCCAAGGATTACAGAAATTTTTTGATAATATTTAACCGATGAAATATAATTCGCAATGGACTTAAATAAAATAAACGGAGAATTATCCCCTCCGGGTAAACAATAAACGGCGGAACAAAATTTGGGTGAAAAAACGGTTGAATTCGGGAAAATCGGGGTATCTGCGAACCATATGGAGAAGTGAAAATATTTACCACTCTGGCACTAAACCTCTGACTCCATCATTCATTCATTCATTTCCTTTATTTTCCATATATCTGTACAGGAAAAAAACCTAAGATGTGGAAATAGTCCCTTTGATAATAGATGTATACATGTGATAAATTACATAAGTCACACAACTAAAATAATAACAATAATAATAATACACACACTAGTCAAGTAACATAGGCAATAGAAAAAAAAAACAAGAAGCTTATTGCAATTGTAATTACTAAACATAATTTAAAAAGTGCATTACTATAAAACTTAGAATTAATACAATTTCACTCAGATTACCCAAATAATTAAATACTTTCTTTATTTCATTTTCCCATAAATCAAAAAAACATTGATACAGGACTCGTCATTTACATACATACACATCCTCCAATTTCCATAAACATCTATACAGGGAACAGACCCAAGATGCGGAAATAGTCATCAAACACATACATAAAGTAATACAAACCACACAACCAAGATCACCCACATTAACTGTCTAACACATACAACAATATGAGGCAAAAAGATAATATCCTGATTAACAGACATGTCACTAGTAACCACAATACAACCCATCACCTCTCCCATATTAACTATATTAAAATGTGACGTTAAGCATTCAAATTTATGTACATTTGTAATTAAAATACTCATTTAATGCATAAAAAGAGTTAGCATGTAAAAATCTTTTTAGGGCACATTCAAAGGATTTCTGGTTATTAGATAATTGTTTCAGCTCTTTAGGCAGATGATTGAAGATTTTTATACCAGAATTATATGCACCCTTTTGAACTTTAGTAAGAGAAGTACTCGGGGGAAATAGGTTAACATTCTGTCTGGTACCAATATTATGAACCTCCGTATTTCTTGTAAACAAATGCATGTTATTTATAGTGTGTTGCATTAAGGAATATATGTATTGCGAACACAAAGGCAGAATTTTCATTTCCTTGAAAGAGTCTCTACATGAATCTCTTTTCTTTAATCCCATCATAATCCTTATAATTTTCTTTTGGATCATAAAAAGTCTTGTCATGTATGAAGAACTGCCCCAGAAGATAATTCCATATGTCATCACAGAATGTATATAAGCAAAATAAATCATTCTTAAGCTATTTAATGATATCATAGGCTTAACTGTTCTCATGATAAAGCAAGACAAACTCACTTTAGTAACAAGGTAATCAATATGATTCTTCCAACACAGCCTATTATCAATATTTAGGCCTAAAAATTTGATACACTCTAAGTTAGTCGGTAAATTTTGATCAATATTGTTATTCATATTATGATCCTCATAGTTCATTAAAGTGAACTGGAGAGGTGGGTTTTATGAATATTTAATTTTAACAGATTGGTTCTGAACCATGTATTAATATTGCAAAATATTCTGGTCATGGTTGATTTGTAGTCGGCATATTCTGGATCAGTCACTATTATACTTGTATCATCTGCATATAAGAATATGTTTGTTCCATTAATTGAAACCTTAGTTATGTCATTTATATACAAGAGGAAAATAAGTGGCCCAAGAACTGAACCTTGGGGTACGCCAAATTTTACTTCTGCCCAACTAGACGAGCTATTAATAGAACTGTTAGGGCCATTCAGGTAAGATTTAATTAAGGCACCAAACTTGCCAGTTATTCCATAAAACTCCAATTTTTTGATAAGTATATCATGATTGATACAATCAAAGGCTTTGTGTAAGTCGCAAAATATTCCTCCAACAAACTATCTATTATTCATTGCTTTTAGTACTTCCTCTATTAATTTGAAAGATCATCCAACACTCCGTAGCCAGTCGATATACCGATTGAACTATCCCGGCCTATAAATAGGTGAAGCCTGTATTCGTACACATTTGGCAATAAAAAGCATACACTCGATATGAATAAGAGCTGTAGATATTCATTAAGTTAATTACTGTAAGCGTTATGAAAATAATTATTTAGAGTGCGTGGGTAAGCTATTTCAATCCTAAATAACATGACTTTCAATTTCATTTCTTCAGGGATCTGACATGGTACACCGAAGCAATTTTCTTATAAGGTTACCGTTTTGGTGCCCTGTGTTCGATAAAAGTAAACAGACTAATTACTTAACCCTGATAGGTCGGATCTTTTCAGCTACATGACAAATCACGGGAACAATATACAACTACGCGATTGTTTACTCAGAATTTAAATTGTCATGGTCCCATTGGTCCTCTCTCAGGATCCAATAGAAGACGACCTTTGTGTTCGCGACTACATGTTTCAGGGTCAAAAGACGTTACCCACATTCGGACGTTTACTGTGACTCTGGGAAGTTAGTTTTACGCACCATTTCCTACTATAATCAGATTCCCGTGAAGTGGGTTTCTATCGAAACAAGCAACATGCTGAAGAATCAGGTATGTAGTTGTTTGTAAATAAATTATATTCTTTGATGAAATTAACTTATGTTTTAGGAGCGTAGTACTTTCAAAATTTTTATCTACTATTTTTCGCATTTGAAATAACCTAAAGACATAGTCATAGACCTTCATGGTAGAGAAAAGTAAACGTAATGCCTTTCTGATAAATTAAATAACGATATGTACATCAGTCTATAGGATAATAAGTCAAAGGTGGGAACTTAACGTGGTATATGCCAGACCACCAAAACATATAAAAAGTATAGTACTCGTAGAATAATGTTGGCAGCAAACAAACCGTACTTTATAGCCGTCGCGTCGGTCGCAACAACAAATTCATGGTCAACAGGAAGTGTTTGTGAGAACCGTATATTTTTGATGGTAGCAGATATATAAATAAAATATTTAGGAATCCAGATCACATTAAATCAAAATGATTTATGAAGCTTATTCTTGTTGTTCACATGCTCAGTGCATACGCAGAAATGCACAACCTCCATGGTTAAACAAATCTCTAATTTGCAACGAAAAAGTACTTTGTTGTGGAACATTAACTTGGAACCGCGTCTAGCCCTATAATAAGGCCAGGTTATAGATGCTTAGTATGATATGCAAAAATACCTGTAAAATAACTAGGACAATCTCCACATCCGCATGAGAATGTACTCTGGACAGGATTTATGGTAGGTTAGTAAATGAAATGAATTCTCTCGTGGAGAAGTGAGTTTTATAATTAAACATGGCTGCCGCTGGTAGTGTTGAGTGCAAGTACCCTGTAAGAAATATGGAAAATTTTTAAGGAAAATGTTAAGTCACCATGCTTGTTCTGTCTAAAATTAAAAGACGAATTGCAGAAGGTTGTTAGTGAATTGAAATCGGTGGTTGAAATAGTGAAAATTTTAGAAGAAGATCAAGTACAATTATCCCATAATGTAGACAATATTGATTATACACTTGTTAAACAGATAAATTCAGTGACAAATGCAAGTAGTGATGCATCTCATTCATCAAACTGGAAAATTGTTTCTCAGTATAAAAGACATTAAAAATTTGACACCGTTTCACATCAACAATATAAGATAAAAAAGGTAGTAAATTGTTGTGCAATTTTAGAGTACCTAAAAGAGGAAAACTTGGCACCTTGTTTTCGTAACATCATTCGAAAACCAAAGGTTAAGCTATTACAGACAATGGCTCGATCTGCAACAAATAAAATTTTAATAATTGGTGATAGCCATACAAGAGGTTGTGCTGCAAATTTGTTACACGAGTACGGCGAATCTTTTGAGGTTATGGACAATGTGTTGCCTGGTGCAGGACTCCTGAACATAACTCAAGCCGCCATCGTGGATATTAGTGGATTGAATTGTAAGGACTGTGTCATCTGGGTTGGATGAAACGATATTAATAAAAATGAATCCTCCAAAGGTTTAAAACTCATCACTAATTTTGCATTATAGCACCAATATACTAATATTATACTTGTTCCTGCTCTGCATACACACGATCAGGAAAAGTCTTCTTGTATTAACAGTGAAATTGAGACTCTTAACAGAAAATTAGGAAAACTGATTAATACTATGTCACACGTAAAATTGCTTGACCTCTCACTGGATAAAGAAAATTTTACCCATTATGGGATGCACTTGAATTCTAAAGAGAAAGAAAAACTGGCAAGAATTATTGGACAGTATATAAATGAACAGCTGAATAGACAGGATAATAATATTATTACACTACCATGGACTAAGGACAATAAGTATCCCATTTCTTTGATGGAAAGTGAGATCCCTGCTGCTGTATGGTCAACAGAAGTACATAATGTTAAGTAATGTGAGAGTATTCAAAAGATCTAAAAGAAACACCTGTAACGGGATATAATGATGTTTTATGGTCAACCAATTAAATGATGCAAATGTTGTCATTAAAGAACTAGGGCCAGAAGTGTCATAATTAATAATTTTAAAAATAATAATAGAGAAGATAAAATCAAATCCTATAAATCTGATTCTGTGCTTGATCTAAATCAGTCAAGTAATCCTGCTTGTCATTTAATAGATAAGGTAATTAAAGGGTTTATTAAGGTAAGTCTATTTCATCCCATTTTCATGAAAATTAAATTCTCAGCAAGTCTTGTATGATAAATCCACATGTTACGAATAATCTAACAAAATAATACAATCTGGTTCATTTCCTGAGAGACTAAAATACTCAGTAATAAAGCCTCGAAGGCAAGATACCTTAAACTAGCGCTAGGGCTTCCTAAGAACACACAATCCAGACTAACATACGAACTCTGCAAGGAAAATTTCCTACTAGAAGAACTCAGATATCAACTGCCAAGCACAAAATCTCAGAGGAAGTTATCAAAGAAAGAAAACAAAAAAGAGGAAATATGGGAAGAGTTCTACAGCACTGATGCAATGACTGACAGAACCTGGACAGGACCCAACAGAAAATTACGACACACAGTTACTAGGTTGGCAACACACGGATTCCACCACAAGATATGCAAGAACGAACGTTTCCACGAAGCAAATGACGTGTGTGTGTGTGTGTGTGTGTAAGCACTGGAAAAAAAGTGCAGTAGATACCACATTACCATACGCAAAAACTTAACCACATCAATAACCGACTACAGTTGCGAATAAAAACAGTTACTGTATGCACATTGTGCGCATTCCCTTTATATATAAAGCCTCACTTGAAAGAAGAATCATCTTAAAAAATATGTTATTCTAAATCCTAATCAATATGGTTTTCAAAAAAACTGGAACACAATTGTTCTGATATGTGACTCATTCTATATCCAGTGGTTTGTGAACATACTTTTCAACCTGTATCTGGATCTGCTTGAATTTGAAATAAATGAACATTTACGTGAGATATCTTTGTATTATGATTGTGTCTTCATGTGAATCACAGTTGTTGTGAAAGCTGATCTCATTACGTGCTGGGAATAAATCTCTCCTTTGTAATATCTGTTTATTAAATAGGAGTTGTTTCTGTATAGTAATCTATGTTTGACCATACTCCTAGGCGCAATTAATTTCATTATTTTGAAAACTGGGTATGTTGTGCAGGGACTTGCAGCCTGCCCACGAAATGTCAGCCATGCAGAGGTGCTAGCAGCAGCTACATCGGTTTTCTGTAGACAGAACCGCACCCCCTACCGCTGCATATTCCCCAACATCTCGGAACGGCAGCTGGATTTAGTACTGTTGGCTGCGTGGGATTCATCACCTGAGACAGAAAAGAACATTTACATATCGGAGGTAAAGTATTTTAGTAGCCATAAGAAAGTGGCCTATCTTTCTTTGCCTCTGTTTTCTAAAGCACCTGAAAGGAAGGCTTGTCATGTCATGTTTAATATATAAATATGGGAAATAACCAATCCTTCACTATTTGATCATGAGAGGTAGCAAGCAGAGCTGACGATACCCAACATCCAAATTTTAAATATGCATTTGTATATTTTTGTACATATTTATTTGCTGAAACTTGTTTTGTAATAGTAATAATTTTTAAAGATATCAACTCCTGTGAAAAACTTGAAATCGTGATTTAGTGTCCGTTGGTTTTAACGTTCTCACAGTGATAACTACGAAGATCTCTGTATTCTGGGATGTAATGAAGAAGGCCACCGACATGTCAGAGGAACGCACTACCTCTATCTGCATGGTCGAAGAGTAAGTCAAGAAGGAAAGTAATAAGACTCAGACTGCAAGCTGATGCTGCCTGATTCATTCTGGATTCTTGCTTGGCTTACTCTCAAACCTAGATGATGGAGGCACTATTTACCCTCCAAAATGTTGGTGGACTTCCTGCTGGAGTGCCCCCCATTACATCCCTGAAGATAGTACTTGTCTAGATAGGGGCTGTTGTAGACATGTTAAGCCCATAAGAAACTGACATGACATGGCTTTCTGGTGTCTGTGTGCAATATAACTCTCAAAATAAATGAAATGTGAAGTGAAATCCCAGTATAACAGCTTTAAAATTGATGGACCTAATTTTCTTTACTGTAAATGTCTGAATGTTGTAATTTCTTGGGAATGCCATTCCCACTAAAATTGATTCAGTGCAACTAGGTCTCTCTCCCAGCTGGAAAACTGGAAATTATAACCAGGCCTCCTGGACTCCAGTGCCATTCCCCCCCCCCCCTGGGCTTTTTTGTTCTGAGNAAACCAGAAAAGCCTTTCGAAGGGACATTTCATGACACGGTAGAATTTTGGTCTCCAGGCTAGAAAGTTGTATTTTATTGTATTACTTGCGATAACAGTACATATACAAACAAAAATCTCAGCTTCTTGTTTTCGTGACATTGTCGCTGTAGTCTCCATGGCATCCATCGAGTCAAGCAACTTGTTATAACTTTTGAGTTTTAGATGTAGAAATAGTTCAGGCCTCGTGCAAATAGGTAATGTACATATTTCTGATTGTACTGTATGTGATTGCAGGTCCTCGACATATTTGGGACAGATGGCTGCAAACAGATGATTAATCCAGGACTGGGAAATCTACACAGCCGTCTGACTGCAACTCCACAGCTGGCCCCAGAAGCAGCATCACCATCAGGCAGGAGGGCAAATAAGAGGCCCCATTTTTCTGCATTTACCACCATGAAGACGTGCAGTGGAAAAAGAAGATGGATGCCTGCTGCTCAAGAAGTCGAGACCATGCTGCTTGATGGTTTTGCTGCAGAAGAAATTGACGAGGCTTCTTTCATTTTCAGATGTATACTTGAGGAGCCAAACGTACAATTTGACAGTGATTTTGAATATACTTGGGAACCTGAAGAGATCTTGAATTATTTGGACCAAAGCAGTAATTTTTGGATTAGCATGCCAACTTTAGATGACCTTCTGTTTCTAGATAATGAAGTGTGACAAAATTCTCATGTGAAAAATTTACAGTTTCGGAATTCATGATAGAGGAATTTGTTAAATTATAATCTAAATTTATTTTTTATATAAATAGGACTACACTATGATATTATTTCATAATTATAAACAGGTATTTGTATGATTATAAAGTCAGTTTCTTAAACAGATACTTATATGTTCTAAAGTCAGAAGTTTATAAATTGTTATTTGTATATTTATAGATTGTTTGTAAATAAAAATCAGTAGAATAGTACTGAAAAAAAACTGTCTACTATTTTGGCCAGTCCCTGTTACAACCCCTCTTTAACTGGAAAGGTAATAACGAAAGAGAAACTGAAGAAAGTTTCTAAGATACTTCTCTAATGGTTTTCAGACCTACACATTTACAGCTTGTTATAAAAGTTTGGAAGAAGGGACAGAGATGGACGAATTCCTTGGAGAGATGACCGCACCAAAAGAAAATGGACATGAGATCTGGTACATGGAATGTGAGAAGTATATATAGGACGAGGTCACTCAGAGGCAGAAGAAATATCAAAATATGAGCGTACTGTGCAGTATAAATACAGGGTGATTCGAAATTATTGTTGGGGTTTATCATCTGGCTCAGCCTGCACAATCTGCACTTTTTAGGCATGGAGGTGAAAGTAGTTATGAACAACTCTCCAAACAGTCATCTGTGTACACCTGATTGCAAAGACGCTTGTCTAGTTGATATTTGTGGACTATGAGAAAATGCTTCCTGGATTCGAACACGATCTTCTTGCTCCTTTTCGATGCAGAACGCTACCAGTGTCTTGAAAGTAAGAACGTGAATATAGTGGCATATAGACCTGTTTGCTAGGCGACGACCATGAGCATACAACAGCCGTTGCTGGGTAATGGCTCTGTAAACAACGGCCATTGCTAGGGAATGACCGCAGTAGGTTCATAACATACAATAATGGAGTGACTGGAAAGCGGTGTTCTCTATACGTTTCGTGTGATAGCTATGTGATGCAGCAACAGAAGAACTGTTGGGACAGGTCTTTTCTGTATGATCTGTGCCAAGGCAATATAAAGAGCTGCTGCAATTATGAGTGTGTCTCAAGATGGCAGAGGAGTAGGAAGTTGGTGTGAGAGAGTAGTTGGCCAGTAAGAATGTGAACATGGTAGGGGAGGGGAATCCTTATTTAAGGTTTCCCTGGGAAGCATTTAATTTGAACACTAAAGTGAGGAAACTCTTAAATGTAGGAAATTTAACAGTGAGATGGGTTCACCGAAATTGGACATTTCAGGAGGGAGAATCTGAAAGTAAGGAACACTGAATGGGGGTTGCACTGCAGTTGCCATTGAGTCACAGTGTTTCATAACAGTGGATGTTTGCTTTATGAGCGTTTTTATATGCTGAAGAGACCTTGGGAGACCTAGATGTATATTAGATGTTATTAAAATTGATTGCAAATAACTATTGCATTTACCATCATCATTTATGGGCCTTTTTCACTCAAAATGTTGTATCTGAAAGTTGTGGTGCATAAAATATGCAAATACTGCTCTTCAGAATATTATTCCATGTATTATATTGAGGCAATTACAATGTGAATGCAGTGTGGCAATACGGTATGAATATTCATGCCTATGAATTCCCCTATGCTATTCCTTGATGAACACTAAGATAAAAATGCTCCTTGATAATATTTTTATCAATATGTACTTTTCATGGAAAGCGTGATTAATGTTCCCTATACCAGGTCACAGTGTATTTCTAAAGTTAAATGCATTATTTGCAAAAGTTGTGGCATCTTTGCTTAAGCCAGAACTGTGACACCAGCAGAGACAGCAGTTGCTAGGGAACAACTCTGCAAACAACGGCCTTTGCCATGCATTGGTTCAGTAGCGATCGCATGGTCACCCCAACAGACGAACAAAACAGTGGAATATCTGTGGGAAGTGACGTTTTCTATGTGGCCTGTAATGAAATGTTACAAGCAGAACCAGTTAGAGAACTGCTGTAGTTCAGTCGTTGTGAGCGATTCCTCTTAGAAACTGGTAGCTGAGGGCTGGGGACAGTTCAGGAATCCAGAGTAAGGGGAACATTGGCATTCGGAAGCTGCTGCCAAGCAACAGCAGTGAAGACATAACTACAGACACTAGTGTGTGTAATAATGAACTGTAAAGTGTAGTCGTGCACTGCACCAAAATGGGCAATAAATCCTGTCATCATACCAGAACCTGTCTATAGTCACACTGTATACATGTGACATCTGGTGTCAGGAGTGGGATTGGGTTGATTGATAGATTGAATTGAATTATGGGATTGAAGATTGCACTGTGTACTTACAGCATCATATCACGGAAATGGAACAAATGATGACACTTCTGCTGACCGAAATAAGAACCAACCAAGAAATGCTGGCCAGAATGGAAGCCAAGATCAAAGTCAAGGCAGACACCAATATGAGGGAAGCAAAGGCTGAAATAAGAACCAATCAAGAAAGGATGGAAGCCAAGACAGAGGCAAGTAATGAGAAGTTTGAGGTCATTCAAGGTACTCGGTCTCTTAGACGGATGCCCACCATGCTAAGATAGAAAGTAACCTTGTGGAATGGATGGCCACAATGAAAGCCAGTCAAGAAAGGATGGAAACCTTGATGGATATCAGACTATAGACAACAGAGGACTGCCTAGAATAGACTGAGATGAATCAGGGAAAAGTAGAAGTGAAGATGGAATCATGTCTAGAAATCTTGAAAGTGAAGACTACTGCAGCACTGGAGATTGGTATCAGGACCAGTGTCTGGCTATAAGGCACTGTAGACAGCCGAAGAATTAGACCCAGGATGATGGTGGGTCTTGACAGAAGTTGGCCGCTGCCTGAGGACGGTTGAACTGCAGTGCCAATTGTGCACTGCGCAAGGAATGTTTTTTTAGGGGACCTGGCAAGACAACCAGCAGCGGCATCAGAGAATTAAGCAAGAGATGGGAGCTACATCTGGGAAGCATGAACACATTGTAAGAGGCCCTGGGACAAACTCTCGAGTTGGAAGTTGTGGAGTGAGCAGTCAAGATTTCCATCAGGTTGTGGAAAGTGAGTGACTGGACATTGTGGAGGGGTTGGCCCCCTTCAAAAAGAAAGAAGAGAAGTCAAGAGCATAGCCTTTGGAAAAGAAGAAATGGTGGTATGCAAGTAGGCTACTGGGAATGAGCTGCCTCAAGGAGGGAGCAGCAGAAGCAGTTAGGGAGTAATCACCATGAGAACTGAGCTACAGGGAAGGAAGGTAAGGCTGATCACAGACATCACAAGCACAGCCCTTGGAAAAGATGAAATTGCAATTTGCCTGTATGCTACTTGGGGATGAGCAGCCTTAAGGAGGGAGAAGTGTGGTGTATTTGCTCAAGACAAAATTATGAAGCCAGCAAAGACAGCTGTTGTTAGGGAATAGGTCTGCAAACAATGGCTGTTGCTAGACATTGGTTCAATAGCAATCACATGGCCACCCATACAGACACAAGCACAACAATGGCATAACTGTGGGAAGCAGTGTTTCTACATGCTTCATCCTGATATGTTGTAAGCAGCTGTTGCAGTTAGTTAGAGAACTGTGGCAGTTCAGTCATTGTGAGCAATTGTTATTAAAAACTGATAGCTGAGTCCAGGAACAGGTTCAGAACCCAGAGGAATGGGAACGTCTCTCATTGGAAGATGCTACCAAGCAGCTGCAGTGAAGACATATGACTGTGGACACTAGTGTGTGTGTGTGTGTGTGTGTGTGTGTGTAGTACACAGCTCCTGGAAAGTTACCACACACAAACATGGACAGCTATCAGTAAGCAGTACAGCCCATGCAAAGACATGCGGCTCTGGCATTCCAAACCACTTTAATACAGAGTAATATTTTGAAAACATCTTTAGAACATTTTTTAGCTCATAACTAAAATCACCATAATGGTAAGAGTTTAGGTTCTCATAGCAATGGTTATGAAGGGTTCTTTCTTCTGAGATATAATGCTTTGGTGTTCATTGAAAGTCAACTCACATTTTGAGGGGTATTCCACATCCATCTTCAGGGTTGAGGAATAAGCTAAGCAAGAAACTGGTGTGAAGCAGGTAGCAAGCAAACCCTTTTCTGGTTACGCTGCGTAGTCCGTTGAAAGCCAACCAACGTTTCAGAGGAACATGTCATCTCCTTCCATAGGGGAGAAGAGTAAACCAAGCAGACAGCAAGCAAAGGAACACGTATCTCCAGAATGTTGGCTTACACTGGACTACATGATGTTATATTCCAGAAGATAGAATTCTTCCTGATCACACCTGATGCATGTCTAAGACTGCAGAGTAATAATACACCTTATATTGTGGTGGCACTGTATAAGCAGAAGAGTTTCTCAGAGATTTGTGGGTGGAGAGGACAAGAAAGATTGGACAACACATCTCCAACATGTCTGGTACATAACAAGACAAAAGTAAATGTTTCTAGTACAGAAAAATGAATGGCACAAAGTTTTTCACATTGTGTAACATGCTAGAAACTTTGATTTAACATGTATTAAGACACAAAAACAGATCTTACAAAGAACACTTAGCCTGTCAGAAATAAATTGAAACAATGTGAAATAATGGAGTCCATCTAAATGACCTGAGAATAATCAGCAAACCACCACCACAAACATGTATGTACATAAATAGCAGTTACAATACAGCACAAATTTATATTTCAAAGCCCTTGATTTTTCCTTTACTCAAATATATTTTTCAACATTTTTCACAAATATGTGCAATATATGCCAAACATATAACAGAATAACTTTACGGTACAGTGATTGTGTGTTTCAGGCCTTCTATAATATGTGTCCTTATGATGATCACCTGGCTGGTAAAGTTGTCCCTGTACTTAATTAAGCACTATGCCATGAAGGTGTATGGGTGAGTGGATATATATATCCAAGTTTTCTTGACCTCAGCACTAGTTCGAGGTGAATAGTCAGCTTCATGTCCTGGCGACTTTACCCTCAGGGAAAGAGCCACCATTACCCATTGGATAGAGGATAGGTGGGCCCCAGAGCTGGTGTGGATGGCATGGAGAAATGAAAATTCTTGACCCTACTGGGAGTTGAACTCTAACCCCCTTGGTTGTCCAGTCCATAGCCAGTCACTATACAATGTGTGCTGTAGTGGCTGCATGACATCACCTGGAAGACTTGCAAAATATTTGTAGTTTTCTGTGTACTACAGCCAACAAAGAAAAAGTAAACTAAATCACACTATGTAAGATTTGAGGCTTTCACGGCGGTGACTATGAAGAAAGCAGTCTTCTGGGATTTGGTACCGTGTATATGTGGTGTTAACTGACGTTTCGGAGGAACGTATCGCCCCCATCTTCAGGGTTGAAGAAGTATAAGTAAATCTGCAAGCGACAACACCGTGAGACACGGTCAAGCAGACTAAAGAACATACCGTTGAGCAGAGAGGGAAGGGGATGAACTGCAAGTAAACAAGTCTTTAACCGGTTAAAGACAGCCTGGGCCTAAGGACACCGGGCGTATACAGTATCCCATGCGAGTGCGGGAAAGTCTATATTGGGCAGACAGGCCGCTCCGTGGACACGAGGTTGAAGGAGCATCAGCGGCACATCCGTCTCGAACATCCGGACAAGTCGGCCGTAGCTGAACACAGCATCGAACTGGGACACCGCATTCAGCTTCAGAATACCTCCATCCTCGCCACCAAGACGCGCTATATGGATCGCATCATTAGGGAAGCCATTGAGATCGAACTGCATCCAGGGAATATGAACAGAGAGGATGGGTTTCGTCTCAGCAAGTCTTGGAAACCCCTTATCTGTTCTCTTAAAAACCACCCACCGGGATATGACGCCAGATCCAGGAAGCCACAAGGCCATGACCAACCAACATAACAACCCCCCACCCTCAGCTCACAGTTAAAGCCCAGCCATTTAACCTGCTACACTCTCCCCTACACAAAATCACGCTTGTCCCGGCTCCCTTCCCCCACCCCTCCCACACCACTGCTTTCACTTGTTTACTTGCAGTTCATCCCCTTCCCTCTCTGCTCAACGGTATGTTCTTTAGTCTGCTTGACCGTGTCTCACGGTGTTGTCGCTTGCAGATTTACTTATACTTCTTCAACCCTGAAGATGGGGGCGATACGTTCCTCCGAAACGTCAGTTAACACCACATATACACGGTGCCAAATCCCAGAAGACTGCTTTCTTAAATCACACTAAACTGACTGACTGGTCACAAAATCAGATTTATTGGAGAAATACAATAATTTGGTCTTAATATTTATTTAAACTCTGGTAGTGCAACTTCTGTTACTTGTGATGTCTGGCAGTGCATCTGGTAATTAATAAAAATAACTTGTTTACATATTTATTAATATCACATATTTTTGTTTTTTCTGTCATAATTAGTGTTACATGAGTTGTCTGGAAAATTTTGGGTGTCAAGGAAAACATCAATACTCTCTGGCTGAGAAGTCAAATTTGTACCATGATACCAAACATAGCCAAGACTGCTAATTCTGAGCAAGGAACTAGACCAAAGTTATACTGAAAGAAACAAGTTAAAGCTGATAACAGAGGTTCATAACCAATTAATAACGTCACCATAACACAAATGGTTTATGATAAAACCTTTAAAAATTTGATTTTTATAAATTTACTGAAGTTTTTATAAACATTTCAGTCAATATAATGATGTACAAGTGGGCTAAATATTCACCGGTAATCAAAAGAATTTAATACTGTGATCAGTGATAAAAAGTAACATACCTGGTTGTCACATGTTGACAAATAAACAGAATATATTTTAGTGAGCCTGTGAAGCTTCAGTAAAAATTTATTATGACAAAAAGGGGCATAAGTAATTGGTCACCTTATTGCAAAGATACATATATACAACACGGATCTAAATAGTACTTTGTATAATATCCTGTGAAGTCTTTAAACTCCTGTGCTCATTTCTGCTTATTCTGTTGAGACATATCTCAATTCCATGTTGTAAAACCTCTTGTTATGGCAGAACTTTGTTATTCTGCAACCAGGTACAACTACTTTTGGAACTGCAATGATTTAAGTATTCACATCAAAATCTTCAAAAGATATCAGTACTGTACAAGAATGTATGCTGACCTTTCACCTAAATGGGACAACTCTGAATTGAATTCCTCTGAAACACTTCAACATAGCTGGTGATACATGTACATGCACGTTCCACCATTTCACTTGGGTCCCACCGAGGACTGTATGGATAATCATCGTATCTAGATTTGAACGGTTTGCCATATGAAGAATGGTAAACTGACTGCAAAACAAACACAGGTCGCTCTTTTGGGAAATGCATGGGCAGTGACACATGGAGAAGAAAGTAAAAATCACGACATTCTAGAAGAAATGAAGCACGAGAAAAAGAAATTGCATCAAATTCCAACATGGCTTTCCCCATTCTGTAACAGAATGCCCCAAGATATTCTTTCTTTTTCTCATAGGTGACACACATTGCAGACACTCTGTCCCGCAGTTGTTCAGCCACAACAGGAACATAATCCATCAAACAGCTCCCAGATGGAAATGGAGGCAGATGGAATGAAGATGAGCCTCCGAGTGCCTTTTCAACACGAGGAGACAGAAACAGTTGTGGGATGATTCGACTACCTTCAGGTGGATGAAATGTGACCACCAGAACAGCTGCACATTCACCTGAATCTTCTCCTGTTGGCACTGGAGGCAAATCAGAGAAGTCAATTTTAAGACGAATTAAGAAGTTCACTGCACCACCCATCAGACGAGACTTAATGTTTGTACCACGGCTACCAATCAGAACTTCCACATCATCTTCACACACTGGAGTCTGGTAAACAAGTGATGAGTATTCAAACTGAAGCCTGGAGTAGTCACTGAGCAGTGATACCTGTATAAAAAACATTAAAATATATAATTTAAGTCATATCACTAATGAAAATATAACAAATGTTATTAAAAATATGCCAACTTTAGTGGATAGAGGGTGTCACGTGGTCAGCACAACTAATTGCCACAGCCGTTAATTTCGGTTTTCTAGACCAGAGCCACTGCTTCTTTGAAATAGCTCCTCAATTATCCTCACGAGGCTGAGTGGACCCCGTTCCAGACCCACTACTTAGAAAATCTGGTAGTGCCAGGAACCAAACCTGGACCTCTGGACATATAGCCAGGAACCACTAGACCACAGAGTCTAGCTCCATCGACAAGAGGCAGTCAGTCAGTATAGTTTGCTTGCGGACTAAAACCACAGAGCTTTTGTTCTTTCTCTTTTTTGTTTTATTCAAAATATGTACCAGCCTTAAGTTTCTTTATTGAGTTATTTTATAATGCATAACTTTTGACAGTATGTCATACTGATTTAGGTACAGGTGGTTGATTAATGATGATAATATAGGAGGAATGTGTTTGCTCTCTCTCTCTATACTCTAAAAGTCATATATATATATAGCACCAACAAGAGGTGGATGATTGAATGAATGTATAAGGGGTGGGCCTTCTCAGCCCTTGCACCATGACCTACAGTGATCTATTGTGCTTAACAAGGGGTGGATACTCCAGGAGTTAGGTTTTGGGGACTAGAACAACCCCCACAGTGCAAGAAACCAACCTGTTTTGAAATGTTAATATGGCACTCACCAGATTTTTTAATAACATACACAAAGGAAACTTGACAGGATCTGAGTGCACAAGGATGGATGAAAAATTCACACAGAATTTTAATTGGAAAACCGAATTGGAACAGATAACTTGGGAGACCTGGTCACAGATGGGACAAGAGTATGAAACTGGATCTTAAAGAAACAGGATGTAAAGTGTGCACTGCATTCAGCTGGTTCTGAGAAGAATTTAAATAACTCTTAATAATATGCTATAACAGGATGCTATACTTTCAGTCAACCAGCTCCAACTACATACTGAATGCAAAGGTAGTTCTTTCCAACCATTAAAGGTTAAAATTTTCTGTTAGGTGGTCACACTACAAGGGCCAGTTGCCATACCTTTTATTCATTAATTTATAAAAGGTTACCTCATACAGGATACTTACTTGATGCTTTCTATAGAGAGCTAGTAGTTCACAGATGACATATAACAAGGACTTTGAATCTTGAGAGTCCCAATTGGCAAGGCTTGGCACATTTTCCTCAATTATTCCAACTTCTGGATCAGACAGAAATGTGTCATCATCAAAACAAAAGTCTGGAGGGAAATGCAGTAAAACACTGTTGAAGACAACCTCCCAAGTAATGGACTGACCAGCATATGGAATTATCAACTTGAAGCGATCACCACAATCTGACTCCTCTATAGTAGGTCTCCCAGATTGAACATCATCAATTTTCAAACTTCCAGCACATATACCTAGAAAGAGAAGAAACTGCTACATTAACTTTAATATAAATTGTATGGTTTTCTGGGTTGTGATGCTATATAGATCACAAGAGGCCCGACATTTCAGAGGAACACAGCACTTACATCTTCAGGAGCAACAGCAGCAGCAATCCTGAAGATGGAAATGGTATGTTCCTCTAAAATATCAGCCTTTTCCATCAACACAAGTCTCTGTATTCAGGCTCATTTTGGGTATACTTACAACTTTTAGGTGCAAAATGTAAGAAACTCATTTAAGTTGGTTTTAGTGTGACAGTGGTACACTACTCATACTTTTCACCCCTATGCTTTCAAGATTACTGACGATGGATTTCAGGTTCTTACAGCGGTGAATGTCGGTTTTGCGTTGTAACACCATGGAATTTGTGGAAGGCCCGATGCGTTACCTATCGCCAAGCCATAAAGACAGGACCGCTATGTTCCCCGAAATGTTTGGCTTCTTCCGAACTACACAGGGTTACAACCCAGCAGGATGTACTCTTTAGACCTATATGAGAACCTCCAATACAACTTTTAACACATTTCAAAAACCTTTCGGCTAAAGAAAAGCATCCAACTAAATGTAAACAGTTGTTTCTGTGCTTAATTAAAACGCCCATCTACAAGAATCTGAAATGTGTTTACTGTGAATATTGTATACGCCATATATATTTTGTTTTTTACGTATTTCGAGATGAACACAATTGTATGTAACCTAAATATTGAACCTTATTACAGTCATACGTCGAACACATTAAACCATATTATATACATACCAACGTTCCCACTACATAAAACCTCCCTTATATATGGTTGCAATTTCGGATGAAATGACTGAACAATTGCATTCGCATCCATTTTATATATAACTTGTATATAAATGTGTACTTTCAACTTGTAAAGTACGCTTACGGCAACCGAAATTCGACGGCCAGACGCACACCAAGGGAACTGGAAACCGCAACGCAACCGCGATTTCCGAGAAATATCGCCGATTTCAAGCAAGAAACTGGTTTCCAAATTAGCAGGCGTACACTGAGGAAAATTACGTTCGATTAGTTTCTCACATCTCGAGTGGGTGTTTGTCCGCCAATTTCGTGCACTTCTCTTCTGCAATGTCAGATAATAATATTGTAATGATATGGTGGTGTTCACGCGGCGTAAAATGAGAATACAGGAGGAAAGGAAACATTGGGTCCGCCCGTTTTTTCTCTACAATTTAAACTCATGTGTTTATATTGTTTCGAAATAATTTAATCAGAATACAGAACTGTATTTTACAGAATGAGCATTGAAAGGTTCTCCTTATTAGTGGATATTGTAGGATCTCAAATTCAAAGACAAGATACAAATTTTCGTACAGCTGTCACAGCAGAACCATAGACAAAATTATAGTTTTGTATATTCTTTTATGTTTTTGGACAGCAGACGAGAAGACAAAAGGTTGTGGATTGAGTAGCAAGCATTAACTAAGTTCAATTTCTTAATTTCCTCCTGAATCATGTTTTCGTTTGTTATCGTCATACCCAAATATTTGAACTGTGCCACATTTTCAAAACACCTGTTATCTATCTTTATGTTAGGATTTTGCTCTGCATTTTGGTGACGAGACAGCAATATATACTTAGTTTCCTCTGTGTTTACTTCTAAACCAACCTCCTTATTTGCGTCAATTAAAGATTTTATGTTTCTCTTCATGGTATCTGTATTATAACCCAGTAGATTCACATCAGCATAGACCAACAGTTGATGTGTCCCAATCAATTTCATTCCCACCTGGTTTTCCTGGACCTTCCTAATGACATATTCTAAAGCAAACTTATAAAGGAGTGGTGATAAAGCATCTTTGTTTTAGATTAGCGTTGGCCAACCTAATACATCTCGAGGGCCAAATTTAGTTTATAGAACACCATCAGGGGCCAGATACGGTGTTTCTTTCAGAAGAGTGGTCGGGGAGTATTGCCCCCCAAACTGAATCAGTCACAACCCGTATAAAAACAGTTCATTTAAACCTATGTATTTAAATTTTACGTTGCACCAATAATATTAAGCCGATATTGAAAATTTCACCAATCGATTTTATTGCCTTCTATCACTTCTACCCCCAGAGCATTTTTTCTTAAAGAAACACTGGCCAGATCATGTCTTATGTTTAGTTTTATATATGCCGGGGGAAAATGCAATTATAATTTAAGAAAGAAAAATAAAATTCCTTGAAATGTGCAATTACTTACCATAAAACAGCACAAATTCCTCTTTCAGCAGGGATGAGCACAAAAGACTTTCAATCATAGTTTTTATGGTCTAATGATTATACCTAAATCCTCATATACACACTGTTTTAATGAGAGCACTGTGGTTTCATAAAACTGGAAACCAATGATATAAAATCCACTTCTAATTGTGAGGTTGCCACTCGAAGAATATGTGATAACACGACATCTGAAAGTCTGTTCCTGTTCTTAGACTTTACATGCTTCAGCGATGAAAACGCTGTCTCGCATATGTAAGTACTTGCAAAAACAGAGCAAAGTTTGAGAGCCCAATTTCGTAACAGTGGGTAACGTTCTGGTGAAAGCAGTTTCCAAAAGTCAATTCCAGTAACCTGAGATGTGTTTAAGGATGGGTCACATTGAAGTTCACAAAGCTCTAATTGCAGATGACCTGGCTGAGATTCTATATCACAATGTATAGGATTACTGAATAAAGAAATATCAGGTCGAAAGCTTTCAAAATCGTTAAATCGTCGGTCGAACTCTGAAGACAAATCTTCAATAATTTCAGTGTAGTCCCTAAACTCCAAGCCTTCTTCTTCTTCTGAGAGTTTCCGACAGCAAGGGAAATGTAGAAGGTTATTTTTGTCCAATGCAGACTTAAATAAATGTAGCTTTTTACGGAAACTGTCAACAAAGCCAACCATCTGACATATTGTCTGCTTCTTGCCTTGCAATTGCAGATTCAGGACATTCAAGTGTTGAGTGATATCAGTGAGAAAGGCCAAGTTTCTCAAGAATTCGACGTCTTCGAGATCATTCTGCAGTTCAGCAGAATTCGTAACCTCTTCTCTTAGGAATGTTGCTATTTCATGACGGAGTTCAAAGAACCGTACCAGACATTTCCCACGGCTTAACCATCTTACTTCAGTGTGCAGAAGCAGGTCCCCGTAAGCAGAATCCATTTCTTCCAAGAGGGTCAGAAATTTTCTGTGAGTGAGTGATCGATTTCCTCCTCTGATCAAATTAGTAATTTTTGTGACAGTAGCCATGGTGGTAGACAGTTTAATTGATTTGGCACATAGAGCCTCCTGATGTATAATACAATGCAAGGTAGGTACAGTAATTTGATTCTGTCTTAAAAATCCAACAAAACCGCTTATTGTCCCTGTCATTGATTTAGCGCCATCTGTTACTATGGAGGACAATTTTTCAAAACCACCGAATTCCTCCACTGCACTCTTAACAGCGTTAAAAATATCGACACCTCTAGTTGTGCTGTGTAAAGAGCACACTTTTAACAACTCTTCGAAAATTGTAAAATCTTCCTTAATTGCACGAACAAATATCAGCAACTGATTAGTATCCGAAACATCTGTGCTTTCGTCGAGAGCAATTGAGAAATAGGAACAATTAGCGATAATGTCTTTCACATTATTAGATATCTGGTTGCTAATATCTTCCAGCCTCCTAGTAACAGTCTGTTTTGAAAGGGGCACTGTTTGAAATTTGTTTCCTACCTTATTTTCATTGAAAGCTTCTGCCATCTTTATCGCACAGTTCTTAATTAATTCACCATCACTTAACGCTTTTTTAGCTTTCATTAATTCATATGTCACGAAATAAGAAGCCAGCAAAGCTTCTTCTTGTTGTTTTGTTTCATTGGTAAAAAGAGATTTCTGCTGGAAAAGTTTTTTCTTTAACTGATCGCAGACTACTTTCCTTGATTCACAAGAGTGTTTTCCGAACTTCTGTTTATGATTTGTCATGTAATGCCTCTTTAGGTTGTACTCCTTTAAAACTGCTAGCACTTGAAAACATACTAAACACTGTGGCTTGTGGTCTTTATTTAATATAAAAAAATAGTCATGTTCCCACTCAGATTTGAACGCCCTATTTTCGCTATCAACTATTCTCAATTTACTATTTGACATGCTGTATCACTCACAATAACTTCAAACACAATTTTAATTTAAAAACAGTTCTACACTCACACTCCGTAATCACACTTCACTTTCTAAAATCGCACTAACTGGGAGACATTTCTGCTAAAACTGGCACTTAACAAAGGCCAGGATGCCGAGAGAAACGGTAAACATCCCATCGCCGCGAGCAAGCTGGGAATGGTTATTATTTTGAAGGTGTCATAAATCCTTCACCACTACGGTCTTCCCTTCAGTGTCATCTCCCTACAGAAGTAGGGTTGGGGAACTTTGAATTTCCATGACATGAACACAGTTATTAGAAAACCGTTTGAACTGTCCAACTCAGTAAGAACGTATACAGTCAATTGCAAAATGCTGTAAGCTAATGAAACTTCCTATTAAAAACTGAATTCTATGCCAATACAGCTGTGAAGTTAAGATTTTTGAAAATAAACCTGAGACTTGGCAGGGGGCCGGAGTAAATCAAGTCGCGGGCCGCCAGTTGGTCATCGCTGTTTTAGATCATTCAGAATAGGGAAATTATTAGAAAAATATTTACCTATACAGAGTTTACCATTTCAAAAGTCTGGCGTTTAAAGGTTAAACACATTTTAATCATAAATACAAACCACTCAGTCCAATGTGACATGTAAGTTTTTACCATGTTAAAGCATATCTCCCTTACATGTTCCGGTCCTTACGGGCCATCTTCAGAGGGAACAGCATTACAAACTGGAAACTACCATCACAATAGCTGTTTTGATTTAAAATACATACACTTATATCCTATAATGCACAGTACGCATAAAGTCGAACATTTCACAATCATAGCAGCTTCTTGGTGTTGTAAAGTTTTTAAAAGTTTCTAGATGTTATTTAAAAAACCTTTATTGTCAATAATTAAAATTTTTGTAGACCAGGTAGGTTCGTGTCCGTACTCCTATCGTCCTTCTTGTATGGGACAGATTTTGTGCCGCCTGCCTATTTTGATGAGGACGTTCTTGATGTCGTCCAGGGTTTGTTCGTGGCTTGCTGTGTTGTTTCCACGCTCCGTTGCCTAGATATTGAGTTTCTCAGTCTCCCCGTAAATTGCGTTTCCGTTTCTTCAATTTGCGGTGTCCCATTTACTAACATGTGTTCAACTCCGGCTGATAACACTTCTCGGAAATTATGTTTGCTTTTCAGTTGCTAGTATCCTTGGTGCGCGCCCGGCCTAAAGCATTTGTTCTCTCACAGTGACCATGATCACCGGGTGCATGCGAAAACAAAACACACTCTCTGTTACGCTGTCATCTTTCATTGCTTCATTTGACCGTACGTTTTCAAAGTCCCCACGTACGATTAACAGTAATGGGGACATATGTTCCAATTTGATTCCTGTTGTGTGTGTTTGTGCGTGTTATTATAAATACGTTTCAGTGTTGCCTGCAATGTATGAACCCTGCATCTCGTTCAGAAGTCTAGAAACCACGGATCACAAAGTATCCAACACCAACTGACTTGGTGGGTGCATTTTTGTGTGTTTCTGAAATCCACATGCTCGTCAAACAATGGTAATGCACATGTCACCATTTATTTTGACGAAGAGTTCCACGGGGTGTGCTCAAGATGAAGATGATTCACAGGTAAAGAGTAAAAGGTAAAGTTGTCCCTGTGCTTAACTAATTTAGCACTGCGCAATGAAGGCTTATGGGGGAGTGGGTGTGTAGATCCACATTTTCTTGACCTCAGCACTAGTTGGAGGTGAGTGGCCAGCTTCACGACAATACTGCTTTACCCCCGGGGAAAGAGCACACGGTACCCATTGGATAGGAGGTTGAGTGGACCCCAGAGCCGGTCTGGACGAAGTGTAGAAGAGAAAATCCTTGGCCTTATCGTGACTCGAACTCCAACCCTTGGTCGTCTAGTCCGGTCTAGTCCGTAGCCAGTCGCTATACCCGCTATACCCGCTATAGCGACTGCGTTATCCCGGCTCTTGATTTACAGGTAACGGAACGTTTTCAATATTCGTGTCTGTTGAAACAGGCGTAACCAAACTGCAGTGATGGTATTCTTTGTGGTTATTCGGTAGTAGGTTGTTTTGCATGGGTGCGGATGCAACTTAAACGAACTCGAAGGTGTGTTAAATAATTTTGTTACATTTATTTAAGATTTCTGCTTAGGCTAACATGGCAGTTGGTGTAAAGACTGAGCAAGATATTAAATCGTTGGACGCATATCTTGCAGACCGTAGTTATGTTGAAGGGTGAGTAACTTTTTGACTAAAGTTTATTTGTTAGCACGTGTTACTTGGTTATAAATGCAGTTGATGGATACATTTGTGTTTCAAACGACAGTTTTGCCGAAAGTTATATATCCACGCAGTGTTGCGTTGCGTCTCAGACAGTGTGGGTAGCTGGTACGTATACCGAAAACGTGTTAAAATCAGAAGTCACACATTACCGGTAGGTTGTCTCGATGCTGAGGCCGAAACTGACCATGAGAGTGCTGGCAAACATGTGTTCGTCCATTTTTTATTCTTTATATAGAACAAAATACATTGATATAGGACATGTCAATCTATATTATACATTATCGAAATACAATAATAATTATAAAGTCATTAGAAATATACCGTATTGAAAAATCACTGGTCTAGAATATTTATTTCCTGAGCAGATTGTATATGTATGTTAAGGAAGTTTGTAACTATTTAAGATCTGAAGATTTATCACTGTTGACACAAGAGGCTTCTCTAGTATTGTAGTATTGTGCCCTGAGTACGAGTATAGTCAGTTATTAGTTTTCCAAATGGCTTGATTGGACATGTGATCATTTTTTATGGTACTTTTATGAACACAAGAAGAAAGTTGCCTCATTGGGGTTCGAACATGAGGATTTATGGTAAGGAGTTTCGGGTAAGTTGTTGGACTTAGTGAACATGTTACTTAAAAGTTTACAATGATATTTTCTGTTTAAAAATTGATGAAATAGTAGGAAAAATTTCTGATGCATAAATTTCTCACAGCAGTTGTCCATATGCCAGAAATCATAGCAGAATTGCACAAATATGAAACAAGTTGCTGTTTCCCCCTCTTGTACTTCCACCTTCCTCACTACATTTAATGATTCGTGTAGTATGACATGTCTGTTTACTGTTCCCATCATATCAGTCAGATATAGTGTTACTCAGGTATGCCAGCTTCATGTGTATATATACATACATGCATATACATTTGTGTTTCTGTAAAATATTCATAAATGTGCCACTGGCACCGAATATAAAACATGTCAACAAGCAAACAAAACATTGGACACTTATATATTCACAAATAAAATCACTACAATATATAATCCATTCTTGTCAAAAACACATGCAGTAGTTAAAAGGCAATACAAATTGCAGCAAGTATATATAAGCACAGCCAAGGACATAGTGTTTAGTGAAGTGTGCACTGTCAGACACCTCTTTTCTTTAGCTGTAAGTCTTGACAGAAAAGCAAGAATTCATCAACAGTATAAGAAGGGTTTTGAAGCAATACATCCTTTAGTTTCCCAATAAACTGTTTTTATTATGTACTAACTCAATTAAAAAATCAGGCAAACTATTAAACACTTTTACACTCATGCAATAGACCCCTTTTTGCCTCTTTGTTAGATGTGATTGAGGAACATGTAGGTTTCTAACTTGTCTTGTTGACTTACCATGAATTGTATGATTAAAAGTATAATACCCCATATTGTTTATCATCAGTATCATTAAAGATAAAATATATTGAGAAGCCAATGTCAGAATTTTTAATTTTTTAAAAACTCTTCTACATGATTATCTGGGTTTCATTCCCATCATTATCCTGATGGCCTTCTTTTGTAAAAGAAAAATCATCTTAGCCTCCAACGAGTTTCCCGAAAATACTATCCCATATCTCATAATTGAATGAAAGCATGTGTGGTAAATCATCCTTAGTGTTTCAATATTGCTATACAGTTTCATGTTTCTTATTGCAAAGCATGCCTTGCCCAATCTAGACAGCATCGATTCGATCTGTGTCATGCAATTCATTCATTCATCTGTAATCTGTCAAGACGACAGGTCCACAGTCTCTTCCAAAACAGTTCCTCCACCTGATGTGATCTAGAGCTTTCTCCTTCAAATGAAAATATCCTCTCCCCAAGGTCATCCAGCATCTTCTTACGTCTTCTTCCTTGTCTTCTTGTCACTTCTATCTTCCCCTCTATCTTTCCTTCAATAACTTCTTTTAGAAGGCAGTTACTGTGTAAGATATGACCAATCCAATTAGTCTTCCATTTTCTTATTTCGAGTAGAATATTCCTCTGCTCACTGACTCTAAATAACACTTCTTCATTTCTCACATAATCGGTCCAACTGATCTTCTCCATCCTTCTCCAGCACCACATTTCGAAGCTTTCCAGGGTTTTCTGATCTACTGCCCTAAGTGTCCAAGTTTCAGCCCCATACAAAGCGATGCTCCAGATGTAGCATTTCACTAGTTTCTTTCTCAAATTTAAGTCCAATTTGCTGGTAAAAAGATTCTTCTTCTTGCTAAATGCAGCTTTTGCCATGGCAATTCTAGATTTAATTTCACACGTACACCTTCCATCATCTGTTAACAAGCTACCCAAATATTTACAACATTTCACATTCTCCAGTTGTTTTTGGTCTTATCTTTATTGTGACTGGGGTTGGTTGTCTCAAAATTTTCATTACTTTTGTTTTTCCACATTCATTTCCATGCCATAGCACCTTCCAATTTCGATTAGTCTATCAATCATACCCTGTAGCACAGTTTCTTCCTTAGCCATTAAAACAAGGTCATCTGCATATTTCACAGTTTGAATAATTTGTCCTCCTAATTTGAAGTCTCCAAGCCTGTCCAGAGCTTCTTTGGTAAGGCATTCGCTGTACAAGTTGAACAAAATTGGTGATAAACAGCATCCTTGTCGAACTCCTCTTCCAGTCTTCACACTTCTTGTCTCCCCTCTGTCCAGTCGCACTCTAACTTTCTGATCCATGTACAATTTACTGATCAATCTTCTTTCACTCCAATTGATACCTGTTTCCTTTAGGATCTGCATTAATTTGGTCCAATTTACATGGTCAAATGCCTTCTGCCAGTCTATAAAGCAAGCACACAGTTCTTCATCTATCTCCAAAGTTCGTTCTGCTATAATTCTCATCATGCCAATTGCATCCCTGGTTCCTTTTTCTCTTCTAAATCCAAACTGATCCTCTCCAAGTATATCCTCTATTTTCCTTTCGATTCTTCTTTTAAGTATCTTTGCTATTATCTTTGCTGTATGTGCAATAAGGCTTATTGTGCGATGGTCACTGCATTTTGTAGCTTTTGTCTTTTTCTTTAAGGCAGTCGTCACTTCTGTAAAGTCCTTGGGCCACTCCCCAGTTTCGTATATGGTGTTTATTAGTTTTGTCAGTGTTTTCAAACCACCTTCTCCCAGTAACTTAAGCACATCTCCTGTAGCCTTTCCATTCCTCATGTCCTTGATAGTTTTTTCCACCTCACTTCTCGCATACTTGGTATCTCTGTTTGTTGGAAAGAGACTATCCAGGAAAATTGATAAAGTGGTGGTTTTTCCATTTGCTTTCCACATCGCGGTACAACAGCCATTCAAACCACTCTGGTCACCCCTGTTGCTATATGAACTTGAACCATCTGGAGCATCATTTGCTCTGTGCTTCAAGTTGCTGCTGATGATGCTGCTTCTGGCATCAGTTTTTGATGTCTCTCTTCGTCTGATGCCTACCCTTTGACCTGTCCAGCAAGGGAAGCCCTGCCAGTAGCTACACTACCACTGGTATTGCTCTCAGGGTCCTTGGCATACTCAAACCCCCTCACCACGATAAGGTGGAGCCACCAACCTTAAACTTTTAATGTATAGACATAATATCTCGATTAATTGTAACAAATTTTAACACTTTAGTTTTTTTCAGACTTAGAAACAGGCCATTTACATGCAAACCAATGGCTTAAAGAATTCAACACAATGTTAGACCTTACTTGGATTTCATCAAGATCAGTGCATGATACTAATATGCCTGTATTGTCTGCATACAACAATAACTTATTATCAGTATTCAATGTTGATGACAGGTCATTGATATATAAAAGAAACAGCAAGGGACACAAAATGGAGCCCTGCGGCACTCCATATTCAACAATCTCCCATCCTGAACAACATTTTTCACTCCCATCAGTATACAATTCCACTCTATTCCACTCTATGTCTTCTATTTCCCAAAAATGACTTCAACCATGTTAAAGTTTTACCACCAAGTCCATATGCTGCCAACTTGATCAAAAGGATATCATGAACCACACAATCGAAAGCCTTTGTCAAATCACAGAAAATTCCTAATGAATGACGGCGTTGTTCCAAAGTTTCTAATATATGATTAGTTAGGGCATAGATTGCAGTTTCCGTACTTCTATTTTCTCTAAATCCAAACTGAGCAGATGAAATTAGCTTATTTGTATGTAAGTGCTGCTTTATCCTGTTATACATCGCTTTTTCAAATATCTTGGAGAAGATTATTAACAGTGATATTGGTCTATAATTTGCCATAACGACCTTCTCACCTGTTTTGTGTATAGGTCTTACTGATGCAGATATCATTCTATC